GTTCGGCCATAATAACGTCCGTTTCACGCTTTATCTTCAGCCATTTCTTATGTCATCCACAATCGCTTAACGTTTCAGCAAGTATTTAGGCAAAGTCTGGTAAGCATTCTTTGTATAAGGTGATATAAATGATCAATGTTGGTGAATTGGAAAAAGCATTTACGAATTCGGCATTTCTTTATTGAGCATAAATATTATTGTGAATGTCAATCTTTTTCATACACATCTATCCACATGGTAAATCTTGCGGGGGCTAAAGCTTTAATTTTTTTGATCACCATCTTTATCTGAATAGCCACTCTAGGATTTTTAAACACAATAAATTCGTATTTCATTACAAAGTTTAATTAAACTAAAGGCCTGTTGTTTAAGTAGCTGATATTAAAAAATCGCTTTTTTCGTGAATCGCACTGATTACATCTAACTTGATAACATTTATATTGGGCTCAGAGATGACTTACTACTCGGTATCGAAACTATTTGCTTTAAAAACTTCAAAGTAAGAAAAGTGTATTGACCACTGGTCTGTTTTAAAACCTCTAGAAGAGTCTCTATCAATGTAATTAATCTTCAAGATCATAAATATCGGAACACAATATTCTTTCATGCAGAAATGTTTAAAAATATGGGAAAGCTATTTTTAAAAATGTACAAAATAACTGTTTCAATCTAACTATTTGTAATCGAAAGTGGGAAGGCCAAGGTAATGTGGCCTTTATTATTGTCGTGGTCACCTTTTGTTGTATAGAAGTGGTTTGATCTTGTTTTTGCAACCAACGTTTTTTTAGGTAATATGTCACATACGTTCCGGCGTTGGGGATTGTAATGCATACTCCATCAGATGACTCCAGACAAGGTGTGTTCATTTAGGCCTATCTGACAATAAGACCTGTTTGTGAAAACATGGTCAAACCATTTCAATTTATTTACAAGTTTCGAAAGTCCTCTGAAATTATTTTACTAAAGCATGGTGTTGGTTTGACTTTGTTTTCGCAACTTGGCCGGGGCGTCGGAACACTATAAAGCTAAAGGAGACTGCAACCAAACAGGAGGCCACACTATCTTGGTCTTCATATCTACGATCTAATTTATTAAACCATCTTTAGCTTTAGCATTTTAATGTGATTTTAATATGTATTCATTATCTTTTTGATTTTTAAATGTATTCTTGCCTCCTTCCTCTTAACCAAACCTACGCTTTCATTTGCTTCAAAACTTACAATTTGTATATGGTCACACTCGGATGTATTGACATCCACCAAAACTGACCATCATTATCTGTGCACACTCCTTCGACAATGCAGCTGATTATTTTGCGCCGAATTTCCCTTCACTTTTTTCCTCGGTCTGCGGTAGATCTTGGCTATTCCCCACGCTCTTCCTCCAGCCATATTCAGGATTCATGCTGTGTTCTTTCTTCATTATCTTTGGTACATTCTGATGTACATTCATATCACGGCTTTGGTATCACACAAATTGATTCTCATAATTCTCAAATACCATCGATTCCTGGTACTGTTTACCAGGCGGCTTGCCTAACTATCTATGTTGAATACGCTCGAGTCGTCTGCCTTTTACTTAGGCTTGGTATACTTTCTGCTGCTAAAGAACGCTTACCATCAGTTATCGTTAATTTCCCCTCCAGGTCTGTTGATATATCCATGTCCTTTAAATATAGCCTATTTTTACTTGTCGAACCATTTATTTTCACATATAGTCGATGTATTTTAATGTTCTTC